CTCTCTCTCTCTCTCTCTCTCTCTCTCTCTCTCTCTCTCTCTCTAACATTTTGATGGAGTAAACAAAAGCTCTTTCTGTAAAGGTAGTACTGTCTAGTGTCGTTGTTTCTGAATATTTGCATATGGTTAGATATTTAAAGAAAAATAATTCTCCAGATTTTCCTCACTGGTTATCAAGGCCATTTAAAAAAAAAAACAACTCTATAGGTATCATTTGAACGAACTTTTAATTCTCTTTATGTGATGTATCTTTGATGGGTGTTACCTGGATTATAGTGCATACAGCTGGACCTTACTTCAGACGTACATTTATCAAAATGATTGCTAGCTCCGCGTTGTCATTGTCACCTCCTGGACTTCAAAAGCAAATTGTAAGCAAAATCGAGCCGATAACTTTGATTACCTTTTATATATTTATTAATTCATTAATTGCACTTTCAGAAGCTGGTATTGTCAAATGTGTCAATCTTTTCTGTATTTTATTAACTTCTATAGATGGTTTACTTCAGACTAATTCAGACTGATTTTTCGATCACGTAGAAGACGACATTTTGGTCAGCTCTGTGCTTAGATCATGGAAATTTTGCACAAGTACAATATCCAAAGTCATTTCAGACAGTACATGAAAAACAGCAGTTATATACCAACATTCTGTTTATCATAAATGCTGCTAATTCAAACAATTTCACTATACACCTGTCATTCTAAAAAATTCATAATATCTGCAAAGCTCGTGCAAAGCAGGACAAAGAGTTGCTAAAATAAAAAAATAAAATAAAACTATGTTTCAAGGTACCATCCTGTCACAAAATTACCATGAAACTGCAGGTATGCACAAAATTATGCACGGCCTGGAATGAAAACATTATGAGTAAGGGTTGACCAAGAACAATATAGTGAGTGAGCCAATGTACAGTCCGTGAGCGTAAAGTTTTTTATTTGCGTTTATAGTTCTCGCTTTTGAAATTAGAAGGTAAAGGGTTTTTTCCCTTTATTCGCATATGGAATAAAGTAAGCGAGCAAATTACTCAACGCAAAGAATGTATAAAGTATCAAAATGAATCACCCTGCCGCTAATGAAACGTTGAAGTTCCCATGTGCATAAACTCTAGAGAGCAACAAACCTTTAAACGAATAAATAAATAAAACTTGTTCCCAAATGAATTTTGCCTATCTATAATATAATTTCTATCAAAAGCGATCACAGTAATGGAATAACGTTGAAATGGCTAAAGACATTACATCATTGTGAAATTGCTAATATTTGTTCAGTTAACGGCTAGCTAAAATACCACTTAGGTTTGGGGCCCCGAGTGGCCGAGTGGTCTAAAGCGCTGTCCGTTACGGATCACTGCCATCTCACCTCTATCTGCGTGGGTTCGAGTCTAAGATTCGGCGAATGTGGATATGTGAGAGAGCTTGCCAGTAGCTTCTCGTGGGTCGGTGGTTCTTTCCGGTGATTTCCCGGTTTCTTCCTCCACCATCAATACTGGCCGCCATGTATAGCCTTTCCTGTGCTGAAAAATGGTGTTAAACCCATAACAACAACAACCACTTAGGTTTACGAAACCGTACATTATTATCATGCACAAGGCTTATGAAAATGAACATTCTTTTATAAATAAATATGGCATTACAGATCGTGAATTATATACGCTACCAGAGGAGACTGAATCATGTTTATAAAGATTTATCATGTGCTCGTATAAATGAATTTAAATCTAAATTGTATTGATCATATCCAGAGCAAGATTCGGGGAGCGAAAAGCCAATTCACATTTCTACGAAAAGAATAGAAATATACATACACAGTTGCAATAGATCGCAAAAATAGCATTAATGTAGCTAAAATTTATGATTAGGTTTAGCACCTTTCAGGTTGTGCAGCAAACAAAAGTAGATATGAATTCTGCCCAAACACTTTGGGGTCGGCTGAACTCGAGTGTTTGCGGGCAATGAACTTGACACCAAGTGCCTAACACTACTAATTTGTATTGTGCTGATGTGGCATTTTAAGCAAATATAGACCAACTGAACATTCTCCAACTTTAGCCATACAGGATAAGTGTGTGCCTTGGTTACGTACTAGAATCACGACCAAATGATGCGGGTTCGAATGCTGCCATCAGATCATTCCAGGTCAGTTAGCGTGTTGTGTCTTTACTCCAATTGCATCGGTACTAAATAACCTACCTGTGTTGCTGTGCATGAAAGCACCAAGCCAAACCACCCAAAATAAGTGAAACTTAGAACGATTATTTGTTTTATAATGAAGCTGTGCTGACATGATTAACCATGGTTTGAACATGGTAGTTATAATTTGGATATGTCTTTCGGCTATGCTACACCAAAAGTCAAAGATAATCAGGTTAATTGGATTTTCCTTCTTTTGTCATCGTATAGCGTGATGACTTATCTTTATGCATTGTCTCCATCATCTGATATTACATTAGCATTCTGTCAGGATTCTCCGTCATGAACTGCATGCACTCAACCTAGCATCCCAGTAGCGTAACACTCAAAACATATAATGCATAGAACCACTATAAATATATATTGCGGTGGAATTAATTCATACATCATCTACTTTATCTGTATACTAAATATGCTTGACGACTCTCACTTCTTCTTCTTCTTCTTCTTCTTCTTCTTCTTCTTCTTCTTCTTCTTCTTCTTCTCTCTCTCTCTCTCTCTCTCTCTCTCTCTCTCACACACACACACACGCGCGCGCGCGCGCACACACACACACACAAACACATACACACACAATGCTGATACATAGCTTGTCACAATTATTTTTGCACGTGTGACACCATATAAGAAGACAAGAATGGCATTAAGCTAATTAATAAATTAGGAAACCTGTGTCAGTTCCTATAATACACGTATCATATGTCAGCTAATTATCAGTGCAACGAAGACTGTATTGTAATAGTTTCCATTGTTTCAGAGATTAAATACAACTGTACAGTTTAAATGTGGCGCTTGTTTTCCTCAGAAGGGTTGAATTTATTTGATGATATCATCCAAAATTCTAAGATAAGAAAAGAATCCCCAAGTGGCTGATAAAGAAAGATATTGTATTTGACATTACTGCCCACAAGCTTTATATGTGCTAAGGTTGATATTTCCTACCTGGCAACTCGTTACAAATAATAACATATCAGGACATTAAACTGTTAAAGCAGCTTATCACTAAATAAGTATTATCGAATTTACTTCCTATACTTTAAAATCTTGACGGAAGGTTTCTCGACTTCTTTTAAGAAATCGTGTCTGTTCCTGGAAAGACCAAGCTGAGAATGAATTTTGTCGCTACTCGCTAATTCGATAAACCATTTGGCTTTCAATCTGAGTTTACTTTTACCTATAGCATGTTTCCTGCTCTATGTCAATATGTCAAACAAAGTACTGCATAATGTGGCAAATTTTCCTGGCTAATAAAGCGTCATCAACCTGCTTGCATGGAACTTTTTGCCTGGTGTGAAATTTTATTGCTTCTTCAAACTCTTGACAAGGATGGATACAACGAATTCTGGTTTGTTTTTTTTTTGTTTTTTATTTTGTTTTTTTTTTTCTTTTACAAATGCCAAGTTAATTATTCAACATGTAAATATGCTTCAACCAGAATTACTTAACTGATAAACATTTGAGAATATAAAACATGAAAATGGTGAAGAAATAAAAAAATCGTTTATAACCAAATATCTTACTGTTATTCATTCTTTGTTTTTTTTTTCCTTCCCCGCGAAGAAACAAAAATATACAAAAGACAGGATATGACATCTTCCTGGGCAGCTACGTCGATTCGTGGCAGAAAAGTGATTGTCTTGCATCACTGTCAAATTTCTTCAAGTTGACTTTTGTTAATCAACGTAACGAATTGGGGAGGGGGATTGGATGTACCGTGATACGGTGCCGGAGAAAAGCTTTCTAAATGCTATCTAATAATTAAAAAGAAACTGTATGTGTATAATAATCATTCAAGTGGTGTAAACATTCATAATATTAATAACTTAAGCCTTAAAAATTCCACAGTTTTAGCTAATTTTAAATTCGCTTCAGAAAGATCTTATTCGTCCTTTTTCAAGGACTTTAATCCTTCCAAGGTGCGTTTTACAATAAAGTTTTCCACTTCATAATGACATTGTGACAGCTTGTTAGTTTCACTAAAGTTTTCAGAAGCATATCAAATAAAAGTATCGGGGACTAAATATCCTAAACAAATTTGATTTAAATATCAAAATTAATTGTAAGTTCTCTTAATTATTTAATAGAAAATTGTATTCCGGACAAGCCTCCAAGTTTCTGTTACGATTATGTGGCCTTTAGCTAAGTAATAGAAAAAAAACAAACCAACAAGTTTAGTCAAATTCAACAAATAATTGTTTTTTCAACAATACAAAGTGAAAATTTAAAAAGAACATAAAGTATGGTGAATGAAATCCAACCAAAAATCCTAAACTTTCTGAATTATATTCAGTGGGGTTCCGAATGTATTCTAATCTTAAATGCTCTGTCGTACCAACAGCCTGCGATAGTGCTGATGTGCTAACGGTCTTGATCTATCAAATAATATGATACAAAATGTCTAAAAATGAATTCACAATAAATCGAAAATAGTGATTTAGTCTGAAAACATTAACACTTTTCAAATAAAATGAATAATATAAATAAATCCTCTCGAATTAAAACTAAACACAACTCAAAGACTAATTTCTCTTCAGATGTTAAGATAGGAACAATGAAGAAAGTTTACGTTTCCCTTATATAATAAATCTAAGTCACAATGTGAAGACCAGGATGATGGCCAAAGTGATGTGTGATTTGGACATTGTAACGGAGCTTATAGCACTGGGGAATCATGGCTCAGACATGTAGCATGCTGTCCCACCCAGTCACATTATCCCGATACCAGGCCAAACAATCCTTACATTAACCTCTTAACGCTGAGAGCCAAGCGAAGTAACAGTTAAAACCATTTTTTAAAGTCATTGGTATGACTCAGCTGGGTATCGAACCCACGACCTCCCGCAACCGCGGCGGACGCTCTAACCACTAGACAACTGGAGTGGTTGATGATGATCAAATGTGTAATTCTAGAACATTTTAAGTTGTAAACATGGTCAGGTCTTCAACTAAAATTATCATAAAGAACATGGTAAGTATCAGGTAGACCAGGAATGTCTGAGTGAAACACCAAGCTCCTAAACTCAGTTCCGCTTAAACAAATGTTTTTCTATTGTTATGATCAGTAACAAACTCTACAACAAACAACATTACTGTCTTCAAAAAAAAGAAGAAAAAAAACCCCACAAATTGCTCGGCTACAAAAATAACTCAGGCAAAATATATAATGTTCTTGAATATAATGCCAACCTGGGGACTCGAACCCCCTAAATAAAGCAACTGACCTGATGTACTCCTGACACGCATCAGCAATTATCAGCTGACTTATCGGTGCTATCATGAAATATTTATTTTATTCCATTCAAGACAAAGCCATTCTTTGCAAACGACCGTATTTCGCTGATGGCTGGAAGGCACATTTTAACGCCCTATATTGTCGCATAATAATATTAAAAATTTAGACTGTATAATAATAATAACACTGTTAAGAAGGAAAATGCTCATCTTGGAAAGCACGGTATTGGAGAAAAAAAAAAGTGCATAGATCTTGCGAACGAAATTGGGGCATTTTGTTTTGAAAACAAAATAAGCTTGCCCAGGACTAAGTTCTGGCCGTCAAACAATCGTACGATAGTAAATTGAACATTTTTAAAACCTAAAGTTTTAATAAAGAATAACAACAAAATTAAAAATAAAACAGTAGATTGCTTGGTTTTAGTAAAGTAAGAATCAAAAAGGTTATATTGGGGTTTTCATCACCTGCGACTGCAAGGACCACTGATTGTTCTACTTTTCTAGAATGTTGCGTCTACATTGTTTCCACACGCCATACTAATGTGAGTTTAGCGAAGTGACTAACTCTCTACATGCAGGAAAGAATTTCCTGGAAGCGGTATTAAGACTGTTTCATCTTTTTAACAGCTCAGTATTGAAACTATATTTGATATTCTTGATTAACACTAATGCACCAAATTTCCAATGCAGCTAAATACAAATTCTAGTCAAAATTGACCAGCGCATTTTACTAAGGAAATGCAAGGAAATTTAAAGAGGGTCTGCTGATACTACTGGGATCCCTGTTTAAAAAATGTTTAAGAAGGCGACCCATCGATTTTTTTAAATGAGCACGTTTCTCTGCCTCTTTCTCCGAGCATGTGATTATTGCCACAAATCGGAGGTGTTGATCCTCAACATCTTTACACCACTGTAGGCATTAAACCGTTAACCCGACGAACATTAACCCGAAAATATCTTTGAAATTTTTAACGCTGCATCATTACGGATGAGAAGATCCCATAAAAAAGTTATCGATGTCATGGTGACAGGCTCCACAAGCCTATGCAAGGCACTCAGGTACAGAGATCCTCCTAGAACCTATCGAAGGAATCTGAGGCAAAAAAATCGACGCGTGCAAGTATAGTACATTTAATGTAGACCTTAAGTTCCATATCTTCGAGAAACATAACAGAGACGTGAACCCTGCACGCCATCGATATCCCTTCATGGAATGCTAACAAAGCCAAAAAGTGAAACGAGTGGTTCAGCAAGCGAGTGTGCCATATAACTGCAAGAAGAATTACACAACTCCTGTGTGGCTCCCTCTTGGCCATTGCAGAGTTTATGTTTTTTCCATTCAACATTGCTGAGTGTGGAAGCATCAGGTTCCGTTTTGTTTTAACGTCCACCTGGAACATTCGATTCTACTCTAATGCAAGTTACATGTGAGTGACGTGGGAGAGACCGGAACATCCCTTCCGACACCCACCTCCATATAGGTGTAGAAGAGTGGCGGCCCACTTCTTCTCTTTGGTAATGAAACATTAAAAATATATCCATAGTGATAGGGTCGAAATGGAGACATCAGAGACTTCCATCACGAGTTGCGTGTCAAGAAGGTTTGCATACTTAATGTTTATGCATTATATTGGAACTAAACTATACCCGGGTTTCGTTTCCGCGTTACAGCTTTACCCGGTGTGGTTTACCTGTGTCTTAAAATATTTCAAATACTGAGTTCGGTTTACCCAATGCTTCGCTGGCTAAGTGCCTGCAAGGATAAAACTGATAAACTTAAGCTCTCTGGCCGTGGATTCCATTGTCACCATGGTGATAATCTTTAGCTGTAGAGGGACGTGAAATACGAAATTGTATTCCCTTCTTGCTATCTGTATTTGTGATAGAGATATTTAATATGTTCAATATTTCAGCATGTAGGCATTTTATAAATGAACAGAACTTGAATTTAAATGTTGTATGTATAAAATGATGAGAAAATGCTGCAGTTCTAATTTCGTAATCTTTATCTTGTGTGATATTTGAAACTGGTAATTATATATAATAAACTTGTACCGATAAAAAGGATTTATTATGTAACAAACAACTTTTCATGCGATCATGCCTAATTTATATTATTTCATTTGTACATAAAAGTGCCTCACGAACTACAAGGGTTTAGTCATATTTTAAGCTGTCTAAATTTGGAGGGGAATAATGACTGATTTTAGATTTGGTTTTGAAAGTGACATTGTCTGTAGAGATAATATCTTTAAAGCAGAGAAGTATAACCCGTGTGTTGCTGTCGGTGATGACGCTGGAACAAAGAAACTGGTCGCATGTATTGAGCTAGCACATCTTCGTGACCGACGGAGAGAACTGGTCCAGGGTGGAGATTTGGAGGGATGCTTTTGAAGGATCCTTCAGCAGAACGTTATGGGCGGGCTATGCATGGTGGCTCCTTGAGCTCACGACAGATATATGTATATGAAAGGAAGGAAAATGGTCAGGCATATTATTTTCATAGATGATGTACGAATTAGTTTCGTTTCAAATTTCTTAGAACCACTTAAAAGAGCGAGCATACCTCTCTTCCTTCCATCTCCAATTTGCCCGCCATGTACTGGTCACTAGCGAAGTTTACCGAATGTAGCATGTCACTACTTTTGGAGTAAGTCCTAAAAAGAACTAGGAGCGAATACGGCAACTGAATTAACAGGTGACACCTCTTAATTCTAAACTCAATATTTGATTGTTATTTGAACTTAACATCTTCATTATTTCAAAAGAACGGTTACGAACGTCAGATAGCTTTTAACAAATCTATTCTTTCAAAGTTGAGTTACATTGGAAGAATTGTAAATTTATAAAATAAATACGGCTATATTGTGCCTTTCATTTCTGAAAATTAATCATCTATAAATGATAGCTCCTTTAAGCATAATTGTTTATAATTTTTCATTAATTATTGATTACTAATTGCATATTATGATTCGTTCGTTCAAGTTAAGAAACTAATTTTCCTTCTATCAGTAGCTTAATCCGGTGCACATCATTTTGTTGAATTTGGGGATTTAATGCACGAGTTTGGTGTCGGATTTAATAATTTCGCTTTCACATTATAACCATCTTGTTCGGGAAATTGATTTTAGTTTCTCCGTTATAATCTAATCCCAAACCGGACCATCATGCTACGGTAAGACGCCTTGTGTTTAGTAGGGAACGAATGGTAATAATGAGGAAAATGAAGGGGGGGGTAGATTACACTCGGTCCACATCTCCTGAAAGGACAGATTGTTTCCCGATCCCGGTTGCGGAACGACGTCGCTACTCAATCAAAAAGACAAGCATTTATGTCCAATGAAGATTAAAAGTAAATTAACCCCGTGGCACCGGTGCCTAACCCCATGTTCGGTGCAGAATGATCGCTGACTGAAGCCGGTGTCAGATGCCAGATGCACGGTTATCGGCCTTTATGGATCTGCTTGAGACCAACTCGATCATCCCCCTTCGGATCCGGGGTTGTAGAAATGGCCCGCCGTGCCTCGCTACGTGTCGTAAAAGGCAACTAAGTAGAGGCAACCTGTTTGCCGTGGGTTGCGACCCGTAACGGGAGGAGGAAAGGATCCTGGTAGTTGCAACACACTACTTTGGCCTCTAATTCTCTTAAGACGGGTGGTTGAGATGGGCCCGGTCTCGACAAATCGGCTGGTCACGCCGAGCCCTAGGAAGTCTTTATTAACTCTCTCACCTCCTTTTACTTTATTCTTGTATCTCGTTTGATACCACCGTTGCCCCTATATTCTATTCCTATATCGTTCCCTCTCCTAAATCTTAGAAGACTTCCTAGAAGGCGGTGGCTTAACGGGTCAAACAGGGGGTAATTTTACTGATCTTTGAAATTAGCGACTTCAGGGTCAACCAAAGGTAATTTTACCAACTGCGTATCGTATCTGTGTGTCCCTGGCACTTGAAAAGTGTCCCCTTGTTGGGCTCCTTGGTGGGTGGGGAGCACGGATGCTGAAATTTTCAAACTGCCATCATGGAAACTTTTAAAAAAATCAGAATGAAAAATGAAGGTGTTACTGCAGTCCGCATAATACGTATCAAACGTAATAACAATCTGCAGGACACCAATACCATCATACTCACCTTCAATAATACAACAGTACCCAAAGTGGTCAAAGTTGGTTTTTTGCAAGTGAAGGTTGACGTATATATCCCCAACCGACTTCGATGTTACAAGTGTCAAATATATGGACACCATGAAACCCGCTGTTCAAGAAACCAAATATGTTGCCGATGCGGAGACAACTCTCACCAGGAATCTGAATGCAAAGCAACTCCACATTGAATCAATTGTGGAAAAGAGCACCACGCCAATTCCAAGGATTGTGAAACCTGGAAACAAGAGAAGGAAATTCAGAGGATCAAATATACATCCAACATTCCCTACCCAGAGGCTAGAAAGCTAGCACAAACAAAAACATCTCTTTCTGGCCCATCCTTCTCCACTATAGTGAAAAACCATCCGAAGACATTGAAGGACGCTCAAACTCAAACAGATATACCCGATTCAACATTAAAACATAACACCCCACATTACCAAGCACATAAAGCCACGGCATCTACCCAAACGACCTTTAACAACACTCAGCAAACTAAGTCACC